CGATGCCGTGAGCCGGTGATCGTTATACAATTTAAAATCAGTTTGCATTGTTTACTATAGCTGTTTACAGTGTTCTAATCATTACGATTTACTTATTTTTTGCTTCCATTCTAGATATTATGCTCAGTGATGTAAAATTGAAGCGATGACTGAATGAACGAATCTTGGCTGGCGAAGATGTATCTGGAAGTGTACACATTTGTTGGAAGTGAAAAAAATATTCAATGTAATGACAAAAATTGTAAAATGCTGAGGAATTTCTTTTGCAAATATAAATATACTAGCAATTTTCTATTAATGGTTTATTCAAGTGGGCAAAATATAATGTACAGAAAGATTGCCCGTAGAGTATCGCTACACTGAAAAGTAAGCAACCGACAGCCTGTATAAAAGGGGGGCTGTGATTGGCTGTTACTTACGCGAGATTTGAACGGGACTTACATAGGCGTCGGATCAGATGTAGGTAGGGCAGAATTAAAAAAAAATATCACAAAATCAAAATAAAATAATAAAATAAAAGGGCATTAATAACAAAAGTAATACAAAATAAAATTAAAATAAGTTTATAGCCAAAATAATTAAAGCCCGTACACTACATCAGATTTTAATCAGATTGAGTGTCACCTTATACATCAACAATACTCAACTAATCATTATTATCATCATTAACAAATTTACAAAGCTAGTTTAAAGATGGCATCTGGAAGAAAATGTACATTATTCAATATTGTTGTACGATACTCAATATTTTAAGACCAAATCTGACTTGTGTGCTTGCCAATGTGTTCTCTAAAATGAATGAATGGAATAAATAAATTTGGAATCTTCAGAGAACCTTCAGGCAGTGCGTACAATAAAAAAGTTTGGAAGTATGATATGCATTTTCAATCTGTCACGTATTACGTCACACTGTGGAGATGAGCACATTATGCATGTGGCAAAGGCTTGTTTTTGTGTTTATTTCTGGGTATCTGACATGTAGTCACATTAATTGCACTGCACTGCACTGCACTGCCAGACATTGGTGAGTGAATTGACACTAGTATCAAGTAATATGCTCAATGCAAACTTACCGGAACATAACTGTTCTACTTTAGTGTAGTTGAGCTGAAGACTGTCATTAACCCATGCCAGCATATCATGTCTACTAAGGTTGTCTGACGTTGCACTGGTGGAGTAAACATTCACAGCTGTTTGCGTCATGTTGCCCTCACTACAAGAAAACAAAAACACAGATAAGACATTGGCACAGACACAATTTTTTCAGATTACCAATGGATGTGGTTTAATATAAATTTGATGAAATACTTAAAATAAATGTAAATTCAAACAAGAGGTCGCAATTTGCTATTAGGATGACCCTGTGGACAGGCTTCTACACACGAAATACATAATGTACCGGTATATCAGATCACCTGTACCTTTACAGATAACGAGCAGTAACATATCCACCTTGAGGTACCTCGCATAAACAACATCAAATGCATGTTGACATTGCAATTCGTGGAGATGCTGACTTGAGTTCATAATATATACATTCGAAAAAATTCTAAAATAACCGTAAACCACATGCACAGGTAATTTGAGAAAATTGTATTTTAAAGGTATGGTAGTAATTAAGGAAATGTAAGCCATCCACATCATATGACAAGTAGATCACACAATTTCCTTCATTGAAAGAATTGTGCACACAAGCTTCTTCACAACATGTTTTATTTAGATTTACTGTTGTTCTGTTTCAGTCACCGAAACGACAACACTGCCAGCTGAGTTGCTGACTGTTTTGCTGTGTATTTCCTCTGTTGCATGTTTTTTTATCAGAGTGTGCATTTTGGCTTTATGTGGGCACAGTGTTACATTTACTATATGTAATTTTGGGAGAAGGCAGTTTCATTTGTCTTCAAACTGATAACTTCCAATCATCTTCTGGAAAAATGAAATGAAGGACCTTTTAATACAGCTTCTTAACTGGCTAGGAATAGAGCAAACTTATTTGGAACACAATGATCCACTGGGAAATGACTATGTTGTGTTACACACAGCAGTATACATGACTAGGAACTGTGGCCTGATTAATGAGTACATATGATATATTTTCCTTTTTTTGATAACCTCGGCATTTACCAAACAATTTATACAAATAGATGAGATAAAATTAAGGTTGAATTGTTATTCCAGTCCCAGTATTAAGTTTGACATCTCCTTTTGATGTTTGTTTGAACCCACCAGTTTTAATCTGATCTTAAGACAAGCAGAGAAAAACAGTCAGCTGGCAATATTACCGTTTTGGTGTAGAAAACAATATATCAGTGATGGTAATACAAATGCGAGGAAAAACAAACATGACAAAAAACGTGCATTCAAACAAACAAAGAAAATGTTTAATACAAACTATGATCATTAAAAATAGTGCTCAAATGAACATCTCAATATAACTGAATGAATGAATGAAAGCCAAATGAAGAGAGCAAATATTCATCTTAATTATGTTTCACTTCACTTTTCAACTACAGACAAGTACAGCTCCCCATCTAAGCCAATTTGACACACTGGGATTCCCTGTGATGGTGTATACCAGTGTGCCCTTTAAGCCAATTTGACACTGGGATTCCCTGTGATGGTGTATAACCAGTGTGCCCTTTAAGCCAATTTGACACTGGGATTCCCTGTGATGGTGTATTACCAGTGTGCCCTCCAAGCCAATTTGACACTGGGATTCCCTGTGATGGTGTATTACAAGTGTGCCCTCTAAGCCAATTTGACACTG